GACACATTTTGGCCACACTCTACTGGAGGGGCAATGGGCAGTGCTGCGGACACTTTAGATGCAGGTGCGTTGGATCCGGCATATTCTGATCTAGTTTTTGGTGGAGGCGAAGAGCAACAGCATCTTTCACAACTGGACAAAGCTCCAGGGCTTCAACAAGAAGCATCAGATTCATCCGCAGTTCCGCTAGAATATTACCAAGCAAGCGCAGCTGCTGGACAGACGGGTTTTTTTTCTGTAGGCGACGCATACAGCGGTGATGCTGCTCTGACCCCGGAGGCCTGGCTCGATGACTCTGTAGCGAACATGTATCCACAAACTTCCCAGCAGATGGCAGTGAGCACTGTATGGGGAAATCCGGTGGTAGAAGATTTGACAGCTTTCAGCGATGCAGGTTCTGTGGCATCGTCCAGTGAAGGTGCAGGTAGATTTGGCCCTAGGACCGCAGGTGCGGAAGCTGGCAAGGGTATCAGTGCTGCCGAAGCTTTAGATGCAAGCGTGTGGGATCCGGTAGATTCTGGGCTAGTCTTTGGTGGAGACGAAGAGCAACAGCATCTTTCACAACTGGGCAAAGCGCCAAAGCTTCAACAAGAAGCCTCGGGTTTCTCCACACGTCCGCTAGATTATTACGAAGCAAGCGCAGCTGCCGGGCAGCCGGATTCTTCTTCTGGTGGCAGCGCATACAGCAGTGATGCTGCTCTGTCTCCGGAGGGCTGGCTCGATGAGTCTGTAGCGAACATGTATCCACAAACTTCCCAGCAGATGGCAGTGAGCACTGTATGGGGAACTCCGGTGGTAGAAGATTTGACAGCTTTCAGCGGTGCAGGTTCTGTGGGAACGTCCAGTGAAGGTGCAGGTATATTTGGTCCTAGGGCCGCAGGTGCGGCCGCTGGCAAGGGTATCAGTGCTGCCGAAGCTTTAGATGCAAGCGTGTGGGATCCGGTAGATTCTGGGCTAGTCTTTGGTGGAGACGAAGAGCAACAGCATCTTTCACAACTGGNGTGTGGGATCCGGTAGATTCTGGGCTAGTCTTTGGTGGAGACGAAGAGCAACAGCATCTTTCACAACTGGGCAAAGCGCCAAAGCTTCAACAAGAAGCCTGGGGTTTCTCCACACGTCCGCTAGATTATTACGAAGCAAGCGCAGCTGCTGGACAGACGGATTCTTCTTCTGGTGGCAGCGCATACAGCAGTGATGCTGCTCTGACTCCGGAGGGCTGGCTCGATGAGTCTTTATCGAACGTGTATCCACAAACTACCCAGCAGATGGAAGTGAGCACTGTATGGCGAAATGCAGTGGTGGAAACAGCTTCGACAGCTACCATCGATGCAGGTTCTGTGGGAACGTCCAGTGAAGGTGCAGGTAAAATCGGCGCTAAGGTTGCAGGTACAGCAGCTGGAAAAGATAGGGCGGTGCCGACCGTTCAAAGCAAAGCAGCGCAACGGCGTAAACGCCGGGCACAAGCCGCTGCTGCTGATTTGGATGCAGTGAAGGGGTCTGCGTCTGCTCCGGCTGTGCGGGCAACAAGTCGTGGACGCACAGGACAAGCTGAAGAGCCAGACCTTCGTCAGCATCCTTTTGTTCGGCTGCCAGTGGTAAATCCTGAGGATATCCACAAAAGCTTCCGTGTGGAGATTGCACTGACACCTAATTTGAATATTTCCAGCCCAATGGATTCGTACGTGATGATGCGCAGTTTATTTGGCCAGTCTTCGCTGACGGCTGAGGAGGTGGATACACTCATAAAGGAATCTGAGCTATTGGTAAACTATGCACTACAAAGGCTCTCAAAGGCACAAAATAAAGGCAGGACGAGTTACATCATTAGNTATTGGTAAACTATGCACTACAAAGGCTCTCAAAGGCACAAAATAAAGGCAGGACGAGTTACATCATTAGAAAACTGGCGTCTTTGTTTATGGTATTTGACTGTCTAGTGTGCACAATTGAGATCCTGGGGAGCAAGATGAATACCGAGGAGTGGTGGACTGGGTTTGTGCAATCGTTTGAGACGGATTATCGGCTTCCGGAAATAGCAAGAATGCAAAAAACAGAAGACTCGAACAAGCTGATTAATAAACTCAGTTCTGCACTGGCAATATACAAGCAACAAAGGCGCCCGGAGCCTAAGGTAATCATTGATATGAAGAGGACCATTTTGAACCTGCCATACAAAGGCACCCAATTCTCTCACCCGCTGTGGAGGATGTGGATACAGGATGATAAGGATTTCTTTGGCTCTAAAGACGATTCGGAAAGTTCCTCTGACGATGAAAAGCCTGGTCACGGAGAAACAAAAGAACCGTGACCCATTCACCTAAGTATTCGCCCGTTCAATTAAGGATACGCCCTTAAGTATGCAACAGGCTTTAACTTGTCTGAATGCCGCGAGTTCTATAAAGTGAACGGCTACCAAAGATAGCCAAACCTGTGTATGCGTGCTGTTCCGTTTGTTTACCTTGCTCATTGGCAACGATTGTTGATGTTTCGAGCATCTGGTGGCGCTTTAAAAAATGAAGCTGTGGATTTCAGTCTTCTTCATTGCTTCTCACCCACAAGCTGCATGCGGTTTGTTATCACCTAGGCCTCGATGCATACTGAGGCAGTTGTTTCGATTTCTCAGGCAGTACCTGACGAAAAAACACACTTGCGTGCGTTGGTTCAGATTGTCGCTGCGTGCTTGCTAACCGTTCTGGGGGGCGGCTCTACGCGCTGTGCACGACAGGGGCAGTTATCACAGATTACCATAGGTTTGCTGAACTTATGTTAAAACTGCATCTTAAAATTGCATCTGGCCTTTCTTGTTGATGACGGTGCAGTAGATAAGGCACATCCTTTGCTACTGCATCGAAAAGCAAGTGTCGCGGCTCCTTGTTATACGGCCCTTGCGCAGCTACTGTCTAGGCGGTACTAGCGCGGGCCTGTAAAGGTTCTTGACTATCAACCCTGCTGTAGTTTTACGAGGTTTTCAGGTTAACGAAACCTCGAATACTTAGCTTTGTTCCCGACCCTCAATACTTTCAGCGTTTTAAAGAGGAACTCCTGGGTAGCCGCTGCCCAGCCTCACAGTGCATCGAAACGGCAGGCAATAGAAGAGCGATTGAACGCTGTAAAAAGGTATCTGAGTTGGTCTGCACTTCTGCTTGCTTGCAGGCTGCCTGCGGCAGGCCAAGAGATTGTTTCACATTTGCCTACAGTGTTGGTGAGTGCATGAACAGGGGGATTTGTTACGCTTTCATGTGAGCT